AGACTACAAATTGCTGGAACCTCCAAACTTCATGAAACAAAGTGCTAAATTTAACTTCATGTAAGATAAAAGAAGTTCAATATGTAGAAGTCTTAAATGTTGTTTCTGTCATACAAAGAGAAGATGCATTTTATGTATACTTTATTTCAAGCTGCACACTGGTCTGCATCTATGTTCCTTATAAAGAACTGGATTTTCTATTTGTCTTTCTGTCCTTGTAAATTTTCAGAAAATTTCCATCACTGTTTCAATAAGCTCCTGAGGCCATGATTTTACTAATGTTTACCAGAATACTTACTGACTGATAAAACTTCTATTCTGACTGTGTTTTTAATTAGAAAGTGTCATGAATTTACTATGATGGAGTTTTTTGCTGCTATATGATAGAATCTTCTATTGTCAGTAATAGGTTTCCTCATTTTTAACATGAGGAAAGTGTTACAAAGTTCACAGAACCACTGTAGGGACTGACTGGGATTGATAATATTTATCACAGTGCTAGGTACTTAAAATAAATGGTAACTATGATTATTACTAAAACAGAAAGTTAAGAAAGAATGTGAAAGAGATCAGAACTGATCCTCAGAAATCTGTTTACCTTCACAAGATACTGTACCACCAGGGAATTCCTTCTTTTTTAAATTGCAAATCAATATTATTATAAAGGTATAATTTTAAGGAGAGCAAAGGAAATCCAGGAAATCTCTTTCTCTCTAATATACTTTAAAATCATAAGAAAACTATGACAGAACTAAGAGAGTATTCTCTGTTTTTGAAACATCCTTTGACTAAGAAATCTCCAACTCATACTAAAGTTATAGAAACAGTATCACATAATAAAGATTAAAAAGTGCAATTGACTTAGAACTAGAACTGGAAAGTTTCTCATGAGGATCTTGGAGAAATATATCCGGTACACATAAAAAAATTCCAAAGCTCCTAAATAGTTTATATTATAATTATCCCATGATGATTAAATCAAATTGTCAGCTTAAACTATGATAGAAAATAACTAATGATAATGTACAATATTTTCCAATGAATTATGAAAGTTATATGAAATGTAAAAAGACAAAAGCCACTTTTGAGGGAAAAGAAAGTTTACGTTTAGAGAGTTTGAGGTTTTCTTATTTTTTGTAATAATTTAGTAAGAGATATTTTAGTGAACAGTGTTGGTCATCTTCAAATAAAAGTATATAGCAAGAAAATACCAGCAATGATAGCCACACAGACTATTTCATGGTCTAAAATTAGTGAATTATATACGGAATAGAAATCCCCAGAATATAGTCTTAAGTGGAAGTTTTTTCTTTATGTTTTTCTATTCTAGTAAAATACAGCAATATCCTTCTTAAACATGCATTTTCCCAGCTATCAGTATCCATTTGGTTAATAAAATTTATTTAGGTATAAACATCAAAATATGTGACCAATACACTTATGGAATACAACTAAGATATCTCTTCACATTAAACTGTAGGGGCCATCCTTACTTCTCAGATGCCTATCACAGTGTCTGACATACAGCAGATGCTCAATAAATGTTTAATGAATAACTAAGTACAATCTGTTTTGCACACACGTTCAAAATACAGACAAGTTTGCAAAGGTACGTAAGTTGGACATAGGCTTTCTGGCTGACTTCCTGGGGTCCCACTGATGACTAGGAGTAAATCTTCATATCCATAGAAAACTGGAAAGTTGATAATTGTCTGGGTGAGGACCAAAAAAACAAAGTCAGGGAAACAAATCACCTCAGTAATGGTTGCTTTATAGAGCTGGTAAAAAGCAGCCTACTCATTCCAGTAACCTATAGTACCAGTCACTCAATGAAATGAAATTTAAGTATATTCTAAACATTTGCTAGTACATTTTTAACTGGAATTTTTGATCATCCCTTATTTAAAACAAATCACTGTTGTCAAATTGCACCCTGTACAAGTATTAGAGGGAATATGTTTTTACTTATTATGAGTACAGGATTTAATTTGGCTATTAGAAAAAGTGAGAACCATAGTAAAGATAAAAGAAAAAAAATCATGGTAGTGAAGAAACTGTAGCAGGGAGAAAACGAAAAAGGAAGAAAAGGAAGGAACTCCACATATGAGAGTCAACGAATTCAAATATGCCTAACTCTTATATAAATTATGACAAACAACCATAGGGCCTACTGTGCACCAGACACTGTGCTATGAGGGATAGAAACGTTAACAAGACAAAAATTTTAGCCTTAATTAGTTCAGAGAGAGAATCACAAGTAAACATTCATAATACAATATGCATTTACATATATACATAATACATATACATCTTTAATACAAGAGAATGAAGTATATTGACTGATTAATTGGAAGAGTAAGGGAAAAATGAGCATGAGGGAAAGCTGAAATAATTCTCAAAACAGAAATAATCCACAATGAGAGAAATCAGTACCTCTTAAAATCAACAAGCTACTCTGCTATATATAAAAGGACAAAATATGGCTTTATAGCCCTTTCCCTTAATATTCTTAGACTATGACTCCATATAAAACCCTTAATTGCCATAGACAGAATTGTGCATGATAGTTTCATTTCTGACAAAGGAAAATGAAGTAGTGCAGCATAGTGAAAATGTCAAGAAACCGGAGTTCTCTGGTCCATGTGCTGTCTACTTCCAGGCCTTGGAACTCTGCACAAGTTTCTCAAGCTCTCTGAACTTCAGCAATATGGAAAATGAAGAGGTGGATGAAGTGACCTCCAAGATATCACCTCCTTGAAAATTATAATTCAAAACTATATCTTAATACTTAAAAAAAAAGCCATAATAAAAACAAAGTTTTCTAAAGGTAAATCATTATCCAACTTAGAGGAGGTCTAGAATCTTCAGACCATACAGGATTACCCTGGGGGTGGTGGGATAAAAAACGTTTTCAAAGGAAAACAGAAATAGAGTAAGTAAAGGTATTATAATCAAGCTGTAAATTTTCACTCAGCTGCCCACTGGCAAACTACTATCCCAATTATCTACACAATTAACTTTACTTAAAATTGATTTCCTCACTAAATTCTTCTTTCCATCTCTTACGTTAAGGTTGCTGAGGTATTAAGGTAAAAACGAGAAATACTAGGTGGACCTAGAATAGTAGTATTGATGCTGGGAGACAAACTTGAACTTGGCACAGATGTCTGCTTGGGTGCACCAATTACACCTCAAAAAAAGGTAAGAAACTGTTCAAATTTATAACTGAAAGGAAGGAAATAGGACCATGTTGCTTACTGCTACATAGATTTTTTTCCCCATGTGTGTAAATGTCTACTTTTTCACACAGTTAGTAATTAAAATTTTACAGAACAGGTTTGTACATGTGCAATGTTTTTCTGCCACTATATTATGTTTTGGCTTTACCATCAAGAAAAAAAAACTAGAAGTATGATGTCTTCCTAATATTTATGTCAAATATCCTTCTAGATTTATTTTTCTTCAATCCTTTCTAGTCGATCAAATTGCTGTTTTCATATTGCCAGTCTGATCACAAAATTGCTGCTTTACAGGAGAGTATTTTTTGCTGACATAAATTATGGGATCAGAGATACCAATGCAGTTACAAAAAAGGGTGTGTATGAGAGAGAGGGAGAAAGAGAGAGAGAGTGTGTGTGTATGTATAAGTGTGCATCCATCTTTAAGGAAAGGATAAAGAAATGTACATGTGAAACAAAATACCACTTTCCAACGTGAGCCCTAGTAAAAGGCCTACATCACAGTCATACTTTCTAGCATTTGTGAAATCAAATATACCACTGAATTTGAAAACCATTCACTAAGAACATACCACATAAAAATGGAGAATGGTAATTTTTATCAAGATTGTTACACTATAAACCTAAATTTGGATTTATCTTTCAATTTATATCTCACTACAATGAATATACTAACTACAACATCATGATTTGACTCATGAAAACGTATTTCAAAAATTTGTCTCCTTTCACATATAGTAAGCAATTTGGTTCAGTACCCCCAAGAGATGAAAAACTCATCTCAATTTACAACAGTAAATAAATAATTCAGTTAAAACTGAAAGTGGTACCAATCCAGCAAACTATTGATGGAGAGGTTTGGCCTTCCATGAAGCCAGAACAACATAAAAGTTTTCAATGGGGATTACTTGTTCAAACAAGTTACAAAGATTAGAAAAATACCCAGGTTAATTATGAAATAGCTAATATTCTCATCTTGTGTAAAATAAATATCAGGAGCATATGTAAGGAGAGACAATACCAGTGGTACTTAAACTTTAAGCATTTTACGCTTTTAACTTTATATGCTGATATATGAAACAAACATTTAACAAAAAAGCAATAATACAAGTCAAAACCTATCCAAAGGCCTCTATCAACCAAAAATGTGTAATTTTCTATGCAAGTCAGACAAAACGAAAAAAAGGAAAATTAAACTCAGAAAGCAAAAACCAATCAAGTCTGTTCCAACACTTAAGTCAATATCCAAATCACATACAGAACCAAAAAGAGGAAAACACTCAGGTCTACAAATGGATAAGCAGTTCCGATACAACCAGATCCCGACATTTTCCCACTCAGAAACAAATGCAGTGGAGCTTTTCCTAAGGAAAAAGGAAAAAAGCTCTCCAAATGAATTTTTTAAAGTGACATCTAGAAAGTGTGCCTCTTTCTGTCTCTTTCCCTGGCGCCTCATTGGAGGAAGGAGGGGGTTGTTTTTGTATTCTCCCCCACTGGAGCAAGACACAATCAGATGTTAGTTGGAGGAGAGAAATCACTTTTGACAACAGCAAATAAAAATAAAAAGTGCCCTTCCTCCTCTGACAGGATGGGCACCCACCTCACACACCCCTCCCTACTCCAACCCCTCCTTCACCACCCCCCAGCACCACCCCCTCCTCACCCCGGAGCTCCACTGCGTATGTGGTTTGGTGCTACTGTTGCCCCGGAGTTAAAGTCAGAGCCAGAGGAAGGCAATGAAGCCCCCACAGACACACTTACCTTTCCTGCCCCCCACTTTTGAGTGCCTTCCCTGGAGCTGTGGAGGATGACACAAAGGGTAATAAAGGGGGGGGGGAGTGGAGGAGGAGGAGGAGGCGAAGGAGGAGGAGAGCTGGGGAAGTGGCTGCTCCTGGGTGTAGTGAGATGTCTCCAGCCAGGGCCAAGCAGCAGCAGCAGTAGCAGCAGCAGCAGCAGCAGCAGCAGCAGCAGCAACAGCAGCAGAGAAGGGTCTGTGTTGCTAAGAGGCTTTTGGTCTCTTTCTCTCCTCCTCTCACGGCCAAAGAGGAGGAGGATGGAGGGGGCTCGGGAGGGAGGCTAGTGGAGGGGTGAGGGGGTAGGAGTCGTGGATGGGGGTTTTCGAAGAAGAAGAAACTCCTTCTCCTTCTCTCTCAGGCTCAATCTCCCTCTCAGGTCTCAGGGCTGGAGGGTGGGGGAAGGAACTCAGCCGCCTTCCCCCCACCCCCCTCAATTCAAGGTTGAAGTGGGGTAAAATTAGTGTCCTGTCCCTTTAAAAATAGAAATAAAAGGTGCCCCCCCTCTGCCACTGCCTCTCTCTTCATCATCAGCTGCTGCTGCTGCTGGGGTCTCTCTGCTTGGGGGGGAGGGGGGGTTCGGGTAGAAGAGACGGGAGGCACTCACTGCGCATGTCTCTCTCTGACGGGAGGCTGGTTGGTTGAAGGCAGGAGGAGGGGGAGGGGAGGAAATGAGATGGTTTCCCAGAAGGCTCCGAGGCGCTCGCGACCCGGAAGACATTGTAGCAGGGGGTAGCGGGGCGGGGGCGGGGAGTAGGAGGAAGTCTCTACTCTTTAACACCCTCAGCCCCCTCCTCCCTCCTAAGGGAAAGTGGAGGAACGGAAGTGGGCGTGGATGGAGGCGAAAAGAGGTCACGTGTTTGAGAGAGAGAGAGGCGGGGTGGGAGAGGTGGTGCTTGCGCGGGGCATGCCGGGAGTAGTGGTATATCGTTGGCAGCAGCAGGTGAAGCAGATCAGACTACGCGGCGAGGGGGGGGTTCGTGCGGCGTTTCTCGCGGTCTCCAGAATCCCGCGCTGCCCTGGTAAGTGCAGACAGCCTTTTCCGTGAAAGGTAACGTGGGGTAAGCTCTCAGACGAAGGCCAGGGGCACCAGTGCGAAAGGCGAATCGAAAAGGGGAGGACGGAAGTCTGTGGAGACTGGGAATGCGGGAAGGGGGCAGGCTTGTCTAGGCCAGGCAGGCCAGAAACTAGGCGGGCTCCTGTCTTGTAGTCTCCCTATGAGCCTGCAGCGAGGAACCCTTGACGAGGATAGGGAGTCCTGATGAGATTTGTGGCAGGTGGTGACTACACCAGGTGATGGTAAGGAATGTGATGGGCCAGATGTAAGAGACAAATGGAATCGGTGGACCCTCAGCAGATGACTGTGGTGACTGCTTCTTTCAGTTCAGAGCAGGGAACCTGTCCGGGGAGAGAGACAAGCTGTGTGAATTTTGACAATTTTGGCATTCGGTGCATTGCTTACGTTGGGTGTTACGACCATCAGTTCCTTATTTCGGTACCCTCCCAGGAATTCGGAGTGGCTTTGGGAAGGGAGCAAGCTGGGAAGTCTGGAGTGGACTTTCCCTCCATGTCTTACGTTGTTGCTGCAACACAATGCCTGTGGCTGGTCTCAGAAAGAAATATGGGATTGTGTGATCCTTGATATTGTGTCTTATGGTTGATAGAGAATGGACACCATCAAAGTTTTCCCTTTCTGTGGTGTAGAAGAGAGTTTTTAAAATGAGTGTTTTAAGATTCTTAAGTTACTAGCCTCGGATTTAGAGCCTTTGGTTTTCAATTAAGTGCTACTGTTTTTGCTGAAAATAATGTTTCCTTCATGTCAATGCAGCGTATTTAAGAAAAGATTCATGGTTTCACTAAAAAAGCTTTTCTTAGTGAAATAGCACCGTTTCTTTTTCGTGTTCAGTTCATACAATTATAACTAAAACCATTCCAGTCTTTCCGTTATCTTTTGTAAAGGTGCTTTGCAAAATTATCACCCATTATATGGTTGTGTTTAAGACCGAGAATCTGAAATCCCCATGTTTATTGTGTTGGTATTAGTTAATTCTGTAGTAGGTCCTTTAGGATGCTCTATCAAAGTTACTACTTATGTTCTATGTTTTACTTATTTGTTTTGTCAGTGGATGCTATTTATGCATCATTCCCTAGTGCTTTTACTGCTTTCTGTGTGTGGTAGTCTTGTCAAACAGAGTAAGAACTAGACCCCCGTGCCTTAAACTTTTGTTTATATTAAAACCAAATGTTTGTTACTTTAGAACAGAAAAAAATTACAGCAAAACATTAAAATGCCTTAAATAACCATTTTAAAATCCTTTTTATGGCAAAATGCTGAATGTGCAAAAATGCACAAATCATAGATATGCAGTATAATGAATAATTATAAAGCAAACACTCTGTAATCACTGACAAACTGAAGAAGAAGAACATTGCTGGCCCCCCCCACCATCCTTCCTGTTCATTCCTCCTTCCTCACCACATCCAAGGGTTAACACTATCTGGATTTTTACAGTAATGATTTCCTACTTTTATTTTAAGTATTTTTTATCCACATCTGTCAGCATTCTTAAACAACATACATTAGTTTTGCTTGTTTATCTATATGTAAATGAATTATATGTTATGTATAATTTTTCTCTCATGTTAGCTTTAATTCATGTAGTCATTGCTGTATAGTAAGGACTATAGTAAGTAAATGTGGTGTGGTAAGTTTTTTTATGAATAAATTAATTAGCTCAACTCATCTAATATTATGGACATTTGTATTGCGTCCAGTTTTTAGCACTTAGGAACAATGCTATGATGAATGTTCTTACACATGTATTTTATATACACAGCATGCATTTTGTAGAGTGTAGTTTACGCCAAACGTTCCAAAGTGAATATTATCAATTTATATTCCCACAAACAGTATATGACAGAGTCTTTTTTTCTGCAGTTTTGCCTGCAGTTGACATTTTTTGTTTTGCCATCCTGATGAATACAGCTCTATTACTGTGTTAATTTGTAGGTCCTGGTTATTAATGAAGTTGAGCATTTTTTCAGTAATTTATTGGCTAATTGAATTTCTTCTAGATTATCTTTTTAAGTTTTTTGTGCAGTTGTCTATTAGGTTGTCTATGTTTTATGTAAAGATTTGAGCAGTGTGGCAAATATCTTCTTTGTGCTTGGAGCATTTCTTGAATCCTGAATAATAACTTTATCTTCATTTAGTTCTTACTGATTTATATACTATTATTGTTGTTATTTAATTTTTTTTTGTAGCTTTAACTCTAGGAAAAATGTCCCATATTTCTGCTATCCAGTACAGTAGCCACAAGCTATTGAACACTTGAAATGTGGCTGGTGTTACTGAGGAACTGAATTTTTGGTTTTGTATTAATTTAAGTTTGAAAAACTTGATTTGGTTGCTGGAAGATCCTTAAGTAGGTTTGGAACAACTTGGGTATGTAAATTTACTTTCTCAACTGTAAACTTTATAAAAATTAGGATCAAGTATTTCTGATGACAATTTAGCATCTGGATTGTCATGTTTTGTAGTGTCAAATACACCCCAGATTTTTAAGGCTTAGTATGAAAACAACGTAAAGTAAGTTTTTTATTGTGATTACCTGTTGAAATTACAATAAATTATGATATATTTTACTTTTTAAAATGTCAATACTAGAAAATTTTAAGTTACATATGTGAGTGGTATTGTATTTCTGTTGGACAGCATTGTTTCTACCATCAATATTGAGTTACATTTTCCTATGTATTTGCCATTTTTGTTGTTCTTTATTTCTTTTTGCATCTCTGAATTTTCTTAGGAGAACTTTTTCTTTTGCTTGAGTATTCACCCTTTAGAAGTTAGTTAATTTAGGTGTGCTGCTGACCAAATTACTTAATTTTTTGCTTACTTTACAGTGTTTTGTTTCACTTTCAATCTTGAAAAATGTTGTGAGGGTACTGAATTGTAGGACTGTGGTTGTTTTTCAGCACTGTCAAGATAATATTCCACCGGTTTTTGGCTTCCATTATTGATTTTGAGTAGTTAGCTTTCAATCTGATTCTTGCCTTTTGAAAGAATTCTGTCTTTTAAAAATGTTTTCTTTGTCTTAGATTTTCTGCTATTTTTTTATGATGTTTTTGGGTGGAATTCTTTTTTTTGTTTTGGATTCATTGGGATTCTTGACTCTGTGGATCAGTGCCTTTTTAAGAAATGTATCGCCTGCGTCCATTCTTACTGTTCTAACTACTTGCTAAAAAATGTAATAGTGGCTTTTACTGGCGTAGTATTTGTAGTTAGTTTATTGTCTGTGACTCATAATTCCAGTTTCTGAATTGTTTTATGTATCTTTTTTGCTGATTCATGATTTTTTCCTTGTGTTCCTGTTTACTGATTGTATTTGAATAAATGTCGGCATACACGAGTTCTACAATAATGTCTTTCTCAAGAAGGCGTATTTTCCTACGAAAATTGTTTGGGGATGCTACCAATTCCAAGTAACTTAGTTCATGATCAAGAATTGAGATTCCTTCTATTATACACATGAGTTAAGCAGAGCTTCTAGTCATATAAGTTCTATTTTCCTTATCCTGGTAAAGTTGCCCTTAATGTCTCAGAATTGGTTGATGGTTTATCTGAGTCCACAGGCCACGTATGGGTTCTGTGCTTTAATTTTTTTTTCCAGTATCTCAGCAAAGTCACCAGTAACTCAGCCTTTGTTCTTGTTGCTTAGCGTTTTATTCTGAATAGGCAAAAGACCTCAGGAAAAAGTAACTAGGTGTGTAGTTTATTTCTCTCATTTACCTTCTCCTAGATTTTGACATGTAAGTTCATACTGCCTTATTTTTATTTGTTTAATTTTAATTATGAAGTTTTTTTTATTGGCTTTGCAGTTGGATTGATTTGATCTGTCGTCACCATCAATAGAACCCTTTTTCTTCTTTTTACATTTTGAGACTTTATTTCAGATTCTTTCTGCTTCTAGCCAAAAGTATGTTTTAACTTGTCATATATTACTGAAAAATTTTAAAATCACATTGACCTCTACAGTATAAGGAGCCAAATTGATTGAAATTTAGAAAATATTTTAAGCAGTTTTTTTCTTCTTTTTTTAACTTAACAGTTTCAAATGTAAAAGAACACATGCTTAAAGTTTCAACTACTTCTACATGGTTTATATTAAAAACAGCTCATACCTATTTATCACAGGTTCAGTTTTAGAGAATACTGCCCATCAGAGTTATGCCATGGTGGACTGAAATGATTCAGCCTTTATTCCCTTACCTTGGAAAGCCACCATTTCCTCCACTCTAGGGGCAGACACTTCAAAAAAATTTTTCTTGCTTGATTCTTTTGGTATTTACCTCCGTATTTCCAAGTAACATCTTGCTACCTCTTGATTTTTTTCCATTTTAGGCATTATCTGTTGACTTCCTACTATGGAAGATATAATTTTAGATTTTTTTCCCCACAAAATGCCCAACCATTCCCCCATCATTCCACTGATACCTTAGTTTTGGTAGATAACAATTCAGTGTCTGTATAGTGTCTGAATATTTATCATTAATTCAGTCCCAAACTACATGCTAGTTGTCGGTATAGTTTCCAAAATACCAATTTAAAAAAAAATGAGTTTAGCCATCTCCAAGAAATATCTCCCAGAACATTCTGATCTCCAGTTTAGGCTGGTTGCTTGATATGGTTGCCCATCATGCAATCTCTGTCCTCACTTCTGTTTCCTATATCCCATGTAATCCTTTGTCTTGTGTACTCCTTTTGTTTGGTTGCAATCTCCAGTAGCTATTTGAGAAGGAAATGTTGTGAGGCATTGTGTTCCTTTAATGTCTAACTGTACCCTAACTAGTTGTAGAATTCTAAGTTGGTAATGTTTTTCTTCAGATTTGTGAAGGAACTCTGTGTCTGATATAAAATTTGAAGCCATTCTTATTTTCAGCACCGCACTTTACTTTCTTCTCCCTTATGGAAGCTTCTGCAACCTTTTTGTTTGAAGCTTATATAATGTTCTCTTTTTTGTAGCCAGTGTTCTGAAATATCACATTAAT